CACAAATACGCTGGACTACACTGCAAGACAAATTACAGCCTGCAACCTAAACCTGCGTCTTGCAGAGACCACAATGAATGCAAGCAGCTCAGAAGGTAAGGTCTGCTTTACTGGGAGGTGATTGCCTTCCCATGCCTATTCATAGCACCCTTCCCTGCATTCAGTGTCCCTACTCTGTATGCCCAGCCTGAAAGACACACTTCCCTACAGTTTGCTGGGAAGAATGAGCAACTCACTTCACAGGAGCACAAGGCACAACTCTACAGTGTAACAGAAAGAGCAACACAACTCAGAGATAGGTCCGACCACTGTGTACTAGGCTAATGTGGACACTGTGGCCTAAAAATTCATCAGCTCCTATGTAGCTCTCCCTTCTTTCGTGGTACAGTGGAGAAAAGCAACCAAGAAAACAGGCATGTTATTAATTTAATTAATAGAAACACAAATTCACAAATTCAAAAACCACAGTAGTTTAGTTTAACTACTGATATTCTCTATCTTGTCTAGCATTTCTGCACTGCTGGTGTACGGGATCCGAAAACACCGAATTAAGATATCCTCAAAATGAGAGCCATTCTGAGGCTCCTGAAGGACAGGAGCATTAAAACCCCATATAACAGAAGTAGTAGAATGGTTTTGCACCTGGATCCCCAACAAAATGGCAGCTAAGTCTCACAGAGAAACTTTTTTCCTTAGTTATTTCTCCCCTTGCTGTCAACTACATTGAAAGCCTATTAAAAAAAATCCTGTCCTATATAATCAGTCAATAAACAGTTACTCCTGTCCAAAGTACATATGCATATGTATATTATGCAGCCCCCAACATATATTTGTAGCCATATGTTTTCAGCTGGTGTGAACTTGCAGAACGTAACTAATTTCACTGGATCAGCGCCCAATTATGGCAGCTGAGAATCCGTCCCTATGACTTAAAACACAAATACAGAGGCTTTACTGTTAGCTACTTGCCTATCGCCTGCAGAGGAAATACAGGTGTTCATGTTACTGTCATATTACTAATTCATATTACACTGGTTTTGCTGTCCCTCCCCTTTTAGACCATGTTATCATTATTTTTCTGTTCTAAGAAACTGTCTATCTTGAAGATCTTACTGGATGACAGAGAAACCAGAAGGACCCCTGAGGCAAAAGCAGACTCCAAACATTATTCTCAAAATGTGTGTATGGTAAGAGATCATGAAATATCTCTCCCTGTGGGCCCATGGAGAAGGAGAATATGAAATGGGAAGTAGAGCCCCAGTTTCAACTGACTAATCCCCCTGGTAACCTCAGGTTAACGAATTACAGTGTCTGCGCAAGAGAGCACAAAGTCATCGAATCACCCACACCAAAATTCCTGAGGAAGATAATCACTTTAATAAAGTTAACTTGGTAAAAAAATACAGAACATAAACCAGACAAAAAAGGTGTGGTGCTGGAAGTTGAAATCATCAGTTCAAACATCTCTCCCAACTGCAGAGCTTGTATATAAATGCAAGAAATGATCAAACCTCACCCAATAGCTCATGCGTTTACCTGTCCCAGATCTAAAGTGACATTGACTTCGTTGTACTTCAGGCCCATAGAAAGAGGAGGACTTTGCCACCAGCGCTCCGTGCCATCAATTGCGTTGGTTACCGGGTGAGCTTTATTGGGATCGGCAGCATTGCAATAATCACAGAACTGTCCCTGAAACACAATAAATTAAAAAGATGGTCTCAGCTGAAATCTTATGCGCTGCAGAAGCATGCTGCTGTTAACTGAGATTCTGAACTGGAGCGTTGACTAAAAGTGGGCTTAAATTTTGTTTCTCTCTTTATATAGTGTAATTTTTAATGTATAAATGATTCCCCTGGTGATTAAATTACACACTTATACCCTGAAACACACTAAATTTTATGTTAAAGACTAAAATTTCAGAAGTCTCTTTAAGGAAACTACAATAAGTCTTTGTTTATTAAGTAATTTATTGAAACTTTGGTGAAATTACTTATATTATGTCTGCAGGAAATTAATGAAACAAAGATTCTTAAAACTGGATTAAGACCAACACACAAATTATCCTCAATTATCCTAAAAGACCGTGAAATATCCACACATGTACATAGCCTGTTATTAATAAAACCATAAAAAACACTCTGTTCCTTGCCTGTAAGTTTGGTGTTACAATTTTATAACAGTGCTTTCATTGTTTTTCATGCCGTTATAATACATTCTGAATCAGAGACTTCTGAACAATATGTACTCATGGAAAATGCAATGGACCCTATAGACTGTTCCCTTTAAGTTTCCGTTTGAAGAATCCCATCGTATCTTCATTTGCAGAAGTTACCGCCCAATTTCCAGTCCACAACTAAAGCCACACTCCAGAGATGCCCTGATAATCTCTCTTTGATAGTTTCTAAAGCTCTTTGTACCCTTCTGTACAATAATGATGAATAAACGTCAGGAAACTTAATTGTCTTTTAATTTGGCATCTTGGCTTGCCCCACAAGTACTATTTTTATCTTCAAGAAACTGCATTTTACAGTCTACTAAGATCAATGCCGAAGCATTGTAATTAGTTATTAAGGGATCTTTTTAGTGTCCCATTCACTTCTTACTCCAGTCACTGGGTGGAGATAATCAGTGAAAATGCTAAACTGTGCCAGGCACAGATCTTTGTAGAACCCCAACAGAAAAATGACGTTTTCATGAAATGGCAGTACCCTCTTAACGGTTACTTCAGTTGGACAGTTGCTTAATCCATTCAGCCTGTGAGGTCCTGACACTGTGTTGGACCCGTGTTTTAAATAAGGTAATATTGGCACCATTCTCTTTATCAGCTAAGCATATTTTCGTCAAAAAGATGTGACAAATCTTTTGTTGTTTCTACAACCCACATTGCCTGGCATGAAGTATATTCCTAGCTTTTAAGTATTAACAGAATCCCATATAACTGCCATTATTTTGTTTGTCACTGCTGTCAGACTAACCAGTGTAAAGTAACTGGAGGAATCATACTTGTCCACTTTTAATAGAGGAATAACATTAGGGCTCTCACATTCTTGCTGGGTACAGTCTTGCATGCTTGGCGAATTGAAGATGTTTATCTCTAGCAGAATTTGTTTAACATCTGCCATAGTTACTAATGGATTGGAAAATACTTCATCATTCTCATGTGATACAAGTACACCGTCTTGCGTCTTTCAAATACAAAACATAGATGTTCACTGCATATTTTTGCAACAGCAGTAATAATTTCAGCATCTGCATCTAGCAATGCTTCCATCCTCATCCTGCTCTTCCAGAAAGCCCAGAATATGATGTTGTTTCCAGAAGACTTGACTACCATTAGCTGTTCTGATTCAGCACTGCAGGTGTCAACCTGGCTGAAGGTTAACTCTTGAGAATTCAGAGTTTTTTTAGAGACTTACTAAATCCTCACATACATAGGTTGGTTAACTATGTCTGGCATCATGTTATAACACGATTCTCCTCCAGCTCCGTTCGAGAAGATGGTTTGGCTGATTTTCGTACAAACTACAATATGCCAGAACACTGCTGGATTCAGATACAGTTTGCTGCAGCAGACACCACATCAGCCCGTGCTAGCTACAGGCAACGCTGCCAGTTTCTGCAGTGATGACACAGAACATCGTGTCACTATCTGCAAAATCAATACACTGAGAAATCAATCTATGCACCAACAACTGCAGTTACCACCACATCAGAGCATCTTTCTTGACAAATGCATACTTGGAGTTCTGACGTATATATGTTACAACAGTACAAGCTTCCCCAAATAGTTTTATAAAGTGCATGGAACGTTGTCTTTAGATCTAAATTCACGTTCACAATGATCAGGCTGGAAATACACAGGAAACAGTTGCTGCTACAGCAGTTTCAGCTCTGATCTGGAAACAGCCTCAAAGAAAGGCTGAATGAGCAGAAAACAATGGGGAGTATTAAATGCAAGTTGTTCTGATTTACATGCACCTATGTGATTTCAGTATATCAGAGCACTTGATCTGAACTGAAGATACCATCTTTTTCTTTTGGGGCACATAATTCAAAGAATTTCATTGCAACAGCTGGAGTTTCAGTTATTTAAAGTACATTCCAGCAACCCTGCCAACAAGGCAGCAAAACAAAAAATGAAAGAAAATAAATTATTGGACAGAGCAGCCTTCTCTGCTTCCCACTGGCAGTATCTCAGGCACGCTGTGCTCAGCCTGTCTGCTACGGGACACGTCTCCATTCCAGGAGACTGGGCCTTGAGTCTTTGTTTGATTTTGGCTGCAGTTCATCAGGCAGGCAGGTGTGCATTTGCTGGTGACCTTGTTACCCTCCTTTCCCCTGGTTCTCCTGAGTGAAAGAGAAAACTGGAACTGCATGAAGGAGTTCGTTGAAATACGCCGGTGTGGACCAGAGACACCCAGGGATGAAAATGTCTCGCCTGTAAGTTATAGAAAGTGATAGCAATGAAGGATTTGTTCACTATTTCATAGCTAGCAGTTCTGCACCCACTGGCAGGGCAGGACAGGTTGAACTTCAATTCACACCCGCGCACCACTGTGAACAGACTAGCAGACAAAACCAGGCATGCCGTTTATCTGTCAGTTGCTGAAATATTTTACACTGCAGTGCATCTCTTCACTCAACACCGTTCTTATTAGGTCATTGTCCCACTCGCCAGTGTGCTAAATAAGGGAAACATACTGCTTTCCACAGCCTATGTCCATCACTGCCTTAAGAGCCTCAGTTGAGCTGCCTGTGAAGGGACTGTCCACCCCACCGATCACCTCTCAGAAGAGCTTTAAACAACCTCCAAACACTCCTTCTGGATTTGCCGGGTACTACAGGCTTCATTAAAAGACACAACACCAAATGACAAGCTGAACGAGAGAGGCCAATGGCAGAGCAGTGGAAATGAAGCTGGGGCTGCTCTTCCTCTCTTTGGCTTATTTTCAGTGCTTGGGATAGCCCTGGCAACAGAGCTGCCTGCCCCCTTCGTCACAATGAGGATCACCCTCTGCGACTTCTTTCCAGTTCCCCTATTCATAGAGCAACAGCTGCAATGCAGCCTTGTAGAGACCCCAAAAGTGAGTGACTCAAGTGTACGGCGTTGCTTTAACTTGAACTGGCCTGACACGGCAGCTATTACACCCATCACTTTATGTAAAAGCCGCATGACCTTCCCTCAGACTCTTAAGAAACAACACGTGAATACTTATGTTGATTTTAAATCCTTCTATGTAAGCTCAGCTTCTGTAAGAGTTTAATGCACTTCTCTCCAATTTTCCACGAAAGAAGAGATTCTCTTATTTACAGTGTCTTTGAACTTGTGAGGTGGAGTGGCTTGATAATGCATACATTGTGCTGTTATCGCATTTTCCCGTGGCTGGATTTCCCTGGCCTTTTGAAAGACTTTCCAACCCTTCTTGAACCACAACAACTACTGGTAAACCACAGAAGTATTCATGTTATGTATCTCAATAGAGCTTTGTTAAAACTGGAGAGAGACGCTGCTGTATCCGTGCTTACACAAACGCTGTAAGAGGCACAACATGCTTCCTTGTGCCAGGACTGAGCTATCAGTAGTCCTTCTGGGAACTTGAATTGGGCATGAACCATCACTGCCCTCTAACCTAGGACCTGTAAGGCAAATATTTAACAAGAGGAACTCCCCCCTTTCTAGCCTCTTCCTCTATACAGCAAACCCTCATTTCCAGTTGGGTGTTAGTATATGAAGGAATACATAATTACATACATAATACATAAGGAATTACAAAAACCAACAATGGCAATGCACATCACACAACAGGCTTCATTCCACTTGCTTGACATGTTTATCTGATGTTTGCTTTGGCTGATTTTTGTTATACTGTAATTTCTGATACTCCAAGGCATGTTAGTATGAGATTTCACTGCAGCAGTGGGCTATAGCATGTTGCTGAGAGATTATTTGGCTTGCTATTCACCTGGTGGCATGGTTGTTTCAGGCAACTTTAAACATGGGTGTTGGGTTCAGTATGGAGGGATGGATGCCTAAACTTCAGAGGTGTGTTAGAAGACCAAGCAGTTTCCTGATCATCACAACCTTTTTTTGTAACCTTAGTTTAAGCATGTAATACCTGTGACCGAGTTTTCCTATCAGTAAAACTGTGTATTACTCAGCCTGTAAGCATCTCCAAAGCACTTTGAGCTTTTTATGACGGAGGGCACTACACATATGTAAGGTAAACTGAGATTTCACGATGAGGCAGGGCGGCATGGCAGAGAGAAGTTCAGGGCAAAGCACACTGCTGGCTATGGCTGCCTAATGAAGTGCGACGGCAGGCTGTGTGATGGTGCATGCTCCCTTCTGGCACATGACAAGGAGTACATACGCTGCACCTTCTTAGTCCTCTCCCCCTTTCTTGAGCATCTGTCTCCATTAGGAAATGAGACGAAAAACTCTCTTATCCATTGCAACCTCTTCTGAAACCAGATATTAAGGGTTATTTCACTATTAAAAAATACAAACACCTCATAAGACTTCGAAATACTAACCCTTCTTCCAAGATGCTAAAAATTTACTTGCATTCTTTCTGTATTGCCTGGAGTCAGAAAGTGGACTTTAAAGCTTTCAAAATCCCTTTCAAATTGCAGTTTCATTCTGGCTCTCTTCTCCTCCCACCAAGAGAGAATACAAATAAAATAACTTCGGAAGGTCTGAGGCTTTAGGAAAGTCCCCCCCTTTAACAATGTTCTGATCAAACTGATACTGAACATCCAGCGCAGCACATCACAGAGTTTGGTGCATTTGTTACTCCTTCCTTACCCTCTAACAGACATGTTCATACAAGTTTCTAGCAAAGGAAAAATGTATTTCCATTAACCCTTTGCCGGGAGTTTTGCCGTTTACCGTTGTCTTTCTTGTGACTGGCACAAAATGCGCGTAATAATCTTACGCTATGCTAGGAGAGAACATCATCACCCTCACCGCCCTGTGTGCTTATACTCCTTGTCAGAGTCCCAAGGAATCTCTGGCTTCCTCCCACAAGCAATGCAAAGCACAGACGATGAGCCTCGCATTTAGTGCTTGTAAAATACCACAAAGCCACCTGACTAAAACCGGACCCCTTTTCCCGCCGCCCCCCGGAAAGATGCCCGCTCTCCAGTGAGAGGTTACCAGTGCAGCGCGTCCCCATCCGTTCCCCCCTAGGCTCACTGCTTTACTCCCAGAAGCATCACGCTGCTCCCCGCGGACCAAGGGCCAAGCGCTGAGGCCACAAAACACCGCCTGGGTACTCCCTAA